TTTTTAGGCTGGATGGTGATACAGGATATCCCGGTATTTTCTACGAAGTGGGCTACATGTTCAGTTGCAAGCTGATCTAAATTTCTCTGTTATTTTTGCTGCATGTGTTTTTCCACAACAGGGCAGGTAAAAGAAGTTTACCTGTTGGAGGTGGGCTGGTTGTAGAGGTAGGGCTGGGCGGTATGACCTAAAATTCATATCACGGTATAAATCGAATTCCTTCACGGTAACGGTATATATCGCGGTATAAATTTAAGTGTAAAAGTTATAATAGAAGTGTTTCTGAATGGGTTTTGTAGTCCCTTAGCAAAGCTAAATTGATAAAAACAACAACAAAAGCAAAGATATAATGTATTTTTTAGAGCATTTATTGTGCAGAATGCAGATCTCAAAACTCAAAATTAAAACCCAGTACTCTATGGTGCAAAATGTCCCCTGGGATCTATATCAAAAGGTAATTTCCTTCTTTTAGAAAAATCCTAAATGACTGAGTTGTGTTTTTTCCACCTGGACCTTTATGCTCTGCCATTTCTCCTCTAATCATCACGCTGAAACCTGTGACAGGCTGTTATGATGCCACAACTATCACACATTCACATATGGAGTTTTTTGTGGAGCCCCTAGCGTCACATAGGTTTACATTACCAAAGGTTTATGACAAACGCTCTTGCCGAAAACCAACTCCCGTGTGCGCACGGCGAGAGAGGAGAGGGAGAGACGCTGTGCTGCTGCCAGAGGAGACACTGAATGAGTTCCCTCTGAGCGGTAAGTCGCTAAAAGAGTCTGAGAAGTCCGGGGCTGTTCATAAAACATTAACTCACTCACTCACAAGTTCTCCAGCAACACATGTTGCACGTGCTACGCTAAATCACGGACGTGAACCAGCTCCTCTTGCTCTGCTGTCTCTGTGCTCGCAGCCATTTTCACACTGAGGCAGATGAGATGACGTAATAGACGATAGGAAGGTAGAGCAAAAATCTATACCGTGGGCCAAATTTATATCATTTCTACCGTCTACCGCATATACCGTGCAGCCCTATGTAGAGGTGCAGTAAGAGCCTGTTGTCTGCAGCTCTTCATCAACATCTCACTTTTTCTGCTTTTACTCTTCCTCCCTGCCGTATTATTAGACTTGTCTTAATTGAAGAAAAGCCGCTAATGCAGTTTAGCTAATTCTTTATTGTGAAGCATCAAAATAAGGAAATGTGGAGTTTTTCGAGCAGCAACTTCACACAACTTCTAATACGGCTGATAGCAAACATGAATCAATGAAATAAAGCAGATATATAAAGTAAATACAGGATGCAGGAGAGAAACTAAACTACAGAGATTCAGTTACAAGCTACTGAAGTACTGAGAGCTGAACAGACAGAGACTTTTAAAAACCATTCTCTGTGGTCTCATGCAGACAGAGGCGTGGAGAGTCTCCCAACACACGGCTTGTTTGAGGGGGAGAAGCGCGGAGAGGCAGGGTTTGCTGCGGTCAATTAGACGCCACCGCTGCCCGCTTGATGGTGGGCAGCCTGGCTTTTGGAGAAGGAATAGGTGAGCAGCTCGGCGTGGCACAGGGCATCTAAACTGATAACGGAAACACGTTACACACAAAACACAACAACAAATTGGCGCTTGACTGGACGCGGCTAAGAGTTACAGAGGAAAAAGCCCACGGTATTATACAGTATGTGTGCTACTGTGGTAACTTCATCCATCTCACAGACTGATTTAGCGTAGCTTGTGCAACATATGGACCGATGTCGCACTGTAGACCAATGTACAGACATTAAACAGAGGAGCAGCTCTGTGTCTCTCTGAGTGTTGATGGAGAACCTGTGAGTGAGTGAGTGGGGCGGAGCTGTGTGGAGAGTGTGAGAGAGGAGAGATGCACACTGGTGTGCGTTATGAAGCGCAACTTGACCCTATGTCAGTATAAACGATATTGTCTAAATCTATATCTTGCTTGAAAATATATCGGTATATTGTAAAAAAAATCGATATACCGCCCAGCCCTAGTTGCTGTGATGTGATATATTTTTTTTAAGACCACCAAAAAGTCATTGTTTCCTGGCCAACTGTTAAATGCAGGTGTTGAACACTTATTTGATGCCATGGATTCACTGCCTTTGAGTTGTCTGGGAGAGAACTGAAGCAAACAAATGAACTCCAAACATGCATGAGTGTGTATTACCCACGATCATGCAGTGTGAGGGAGCGTGATGAGATGATGTAATGCAGAGCAGCCTCAAAGAATGAGTACTGGGCCTTGGGATTTGCTGAGTGGCACAGATGGTAGTTATGTAGAGGGGAGGGCTAGGACCTCGGCCTGCTGGAGGTAATCCAGGCATTACAGCACTCACGTAGAGTCACAACTCCAGCTATGGGGAAATACTGTGTTCAGAGCCAAATCTGTGATGGCCTAACTTTGCCCTAGTTATTAGTCAAGCAACCTAATATTGTTTTGTATGCATCCAGAAGCTGCATTTGCTGAAGCTTAAAGGAGAAGAGAGAAGAGAGGCCTGAGAAACAGCTTGTGCATGTACTAGCTTTATTGAGCACCTAAGGCTCCTAAGGCAGAACCCTATTGAGCCAAAAGTTTGGACACACCTTCTCATTCAATGCGTTTTCTTTATTTTCATGACTATTTACATTGTAGATTCTCACTGAAGGCATCAAAACTATGAATGAACACATGTGGAGTTATGTACTTAACAAAAAAAAGGTGAAATAACTGAAAACATGTTTTATATTCTAGTTTCTTCAAAATAGCCACCCTTTGCTCTGATTACTGCTTTGCACACTCTTGGCATTCTCTCCATGAGCTTCAAGAGGTAGTCACCTGAAATGGTTT